TTCCCAACCTCCTCGCGCCAACGTCATCACCGGCAAGTGGGTCTTTGGCCATAATTCCCGCTCGGATGGTACTCTCGAGCGCTACAAGGCTTGCTGGGTGGTCCGTGGTTTCCGCCAGCGCGCTGGAGTGGACTTCACTGAGACGTTTGCCCCGGTTGTAAAACCAGGCACGATCTGCACCATCCTCCAGCTCGTCGTCTCCCGTGGCTGGCCCGTTCACCAGATGAATGTCTCCAACGCCTTTCTCCACGGCCATCTTGAGGAGCAGGTGTATTGTGAGCAACCCACTGGTTTCGTCGACGCCTCACTTCCTGGCCATGTGTGTCTGTTGTCCCGCTCTCTTTACGGGCTCAAGCAAGCACCCCGCGCCTGGTACCAGCGGATCGCCGGGTTTCTTCAGACACCGGGCTTCAGCGTTACTCGCTCGAACGCCTCACTGTTTGTCTATCGCCACGGTGACACGACTGCATACTTGCTTCTTTACGTCGATGACATCATCCTGACGGCCTCCTCCCCAGCTCTTCTTCAGCAGATTACTCTCCGACTGCGTGACGAGTTTGCCATTAAGGACTTGGGTGCTCTACATTATTTCCTTGGCATTGAGGTCGTTCGGCGCCCGGATGGTTTCTTTCTTCATCAACAGAAGTATGCACATGAGCTTCTTGAGCGTGCTGGCATGCTCAACTGTCACCCTGTTGCTACTCCTGTTGACACTAAGGCCAAGGTCTCTACTCTTGAGGGCTCGCCTGCGTCGGATGCTCCTTTCTACCGGTTTTCGTCGGTGCTCTTCAGTATTTGACTCTCACCAGACCGGATCTTCAGTATGCTGTTCAGCAGGTGTGTCTCCACATGCACACCCCTCGTGACTCCCATTGGACTCTCGTGAAGCGGATCCTTCGTTACATCCGCGGCACGATGACCCTCGGATTGACATTCACGGCGTCTACTTCTCTGGAGATGGTGGCCTACTCCGATGCAGACTGGGCTGGCTGCCCCGATACTCGTCGGTCCACCTCTGGCTACTGCATCTACCTCGGTCCTTCACTCGTCTCGTGGTCGTCCAAGCGACAACCCACGGTTTCGCGCTCCAGCGCGGAGGCTGAGTACTAAGCTGTGGCCAACGCTGTTGCCGAGTGCACCTGGCTACGACAGTTACTTCAGGAGCTGCATCACGACGTCTCCTAGGCTACGGTTGTCTACTGCGACAACGTTTCTGCGGTGTACCTCTCCGCCAACCCCATTCATCGTCGGCAGACTAAACACATTGAGCTGGACATTCACTTTATGTGCGAGCAGGTGGCTCTTGAACGTATTTGGGTTCTCCATGTGCCGACTGCACAACAGTTCGCCGATGTGATGACGAAGGGACTGCCGACTTCTACCTTCGAGGAGTCCCGTTCCAGTCTTTGCGTCACTGGCGCCGCTTCGACTGCGGGGGGTGTTGAGTATATTCTGTACGTGTATATTTGTGTGTAGGGCCTATCTCCTGTTTCCTTTGTATAGTTGAGGTTGTGGCCCACCTCTGTACTTATATATACGTGTCTGGTGCATCGATCAATACATCGAGATTGCACGGACCATAACTTATCCTTCTACATGTAGGACCGCCGGCTCATCGGTTCAACATCTAATTTTGTTGAGCTGTCTCGCGGTCTTGTGCTAATACTTTGCAATTTATTGTGAAAACAAATCAATTTGTTAGCCAAAGAGTAGAACGGTAAAAAACAAAATTGGTTGGGCAAACAGGATTGGATTACCAGAATGCACCACAGGGGCAAACGTTGCCTTAAACATAAACCGTGTGTTGTAGTCATCCTTCTATACCCCATGTAGGATCTTTCTGTGAGGTATGAGAGTTATTTACTGACGTGGTATTTTGGTACTTCCTCCATTCCATAATATAGTGCTTCCTCTATCCTAGTGCTTCAACCAAGACCGATTGCGGCAGGAGCAAAAATTATACCAATGAATTCGTACTCGAAAGAAGTTTTCAATTATATAATTTTTTTTTCTCCCCCCGCAGTTGATCTCGTTGGTTAAATTTATGATCAAAATTGAACCTTGGGAAGCGCAGGCGCATTATATTTTGGAATGGAGGGAGTATAGTATACAGCGCTTGTTTATGATTTGTGCCTGCTTGGAGAGCGCTCATAAAACTGTGATAACGTAATGCCCGAATTCGATACCAAGTACTTCAAAATCTGAACCAAAATCTGAAGTAGTGAACTATACGCTCTTATATTTCTTTTACGGAGAGTCAGAGTAGCTGTATGTTCCAAAATCGCATACTCCAAAGTCAATTGTGAATCTGACATGACAAACTATAGCAACATGTTGACGCATAACACAGTGCGAGATACTGTAATAACAACACTAAAGGCCCGTACGCCTGCAAGGAGGCGCCACATTTGATTCATCAAAGGATGTTTACTCCAAACCATACTTGTTATTAACAGTATAATAAAGCAACAGAAAACATGATAGGATCTTCCTTCCTGGACGGACTGAAGCCAGTGCTGGTTCTGACTTCTGAGCATGGTGGTCATGCTTCCCCAGAATACATACCTGATGAAGAATCGACTAATCCGCACAGGATGTCATCAGAATGGGACAAGCCTGACTCATCTGTCCTTTTCAAAAATCCAAAAGGCATTTCCTATTTATCCATTTTAATTTCATCATTGAATAGAAACCCTTTTGGATTTATTTGTTCATTGTATTGAAAGAATTTTCAAAATTTAAACAAGAAATTAATTAGAAAAAAATAGTTCTATACTTGCAGGTTAGGAAAAAAGAAGTTCCAACTCTTTCAAGCAGTGTTTCTATTGGGCAAAGCAAGAGTTCATTGCTGGTGGTGGTTACTTTCCTCTTCCTGGGAGTTTGCCTATGAAGCAGAGGCTAATCATACTCTGAAGCCTCAACTGTCCATGCTTCCATTTTCTATGGGGATGGAATCTGGACAAGGCACCTTTTGATCGAGGAAAACAAAACAGGACACGAACTAGTTGGGAAAGCCGGTAAAGGGCAACTTAAAAGAGGCGTCATCTTGGTCTAGGCACAAATGAATATTAGACAGAAAAAGACATCTCTCCAGTCCCCATCTTTTTCTATCTATCTATATATATATCAAAGAAAGCTAAGCTGGCAAGTGAGGGCAAACACAGATATCAACTCGATCCAGTGCTTCAGGATTAGATAGACATATATTATTTGACAGAAAAGGACATGTCTACACACCCCAACTTCCCTGGGTTGCATTGCATGTTCAACCATCCTACAAGGCAATCTTAGTATCAACTTTTCAAGGTGCATGCCCTGCTATATATGTTCTTGTTTCTTGCAGAAAACTGAACATCGGAAATCCGTGACCTGAAAGCACCCATACACTTTCCAATACCGTCGTTACTAACCATCTCTAATATAGCAACATAACAAACCTACATGGTTGCTCTCTTTTTAAGATCTGTCCCAAAACCGGCACGACAATCGGTTTGTGGTGTCGGAGTCTGGACAGATAAAGGGCAAACACTATGCAATGGCAACAGCCCTTGGTACGGCAGAAGGTCACCAAACAAAGCTTGTCCAACTGGCTGCATATTAGGGTTTAAGGGTGCTCGCATGAATTGTATTGTTAGTGCAGCTCTACTTTTCTTTTCACTTCACAAAATCCTTACAAAGAAGAATCCTACAGAAAAAGTCAAATATGCCCTTCAGTTACTATTATCTATCTATTCAAAGTGTCAGGCTGGCGCAAGGAATGGAACAATGCTACGAACAAAACAACCCCAAAATACAGTATTCACCACAGGCGTGACATATTATATACATGCAATAAAAACTACAAAAGCTGCCGCTGGATGTATTGACATAGTCCCTCTAAGGCCTCCTTTGGTTTAGAGGAATATTGTAGGAATTTCATAGGATAGGATTTCTATATGAAAAATTCCTTTAGAGCCCTTTGGTTTGTAGGAATGAAATCCTATTCCTATGGAGGAATTCTTCCTATCCTCCACAATTCATAGGAAAATAAACATTAGCCTAGACTCAACGGAAGAAATCCTATGATGTGAATCAAAGGTCATCTCCTTTCCTATTCCTACTCATAGGATGTGAGATACATGTCATCTCATTTTCTATGACTTTCCTATTCCTACGATTTTCCTACCCTATGAACCAAAGGAGGCCTAAGTCCATCTAATACATAGGATGATCATCCTAGCTACTGATATGTTACTTGCCAAGAAGCGGTCATGTTCAAACAGCATACTCACATAGAACAATTAGTTGCCATACCATACTCACCGACCAGCACCGTCTATTACCAGAAAATCTTTCAATAATGGAAGAGCAAGGATGGGAATTCCTCAAGAAAGATCTCTAGGGATAGATGGACTAGCTCGTGCCTGTTCATCGCATCACAACCCTGCAGGGGAAACAAGGAGCATTGCCCTAAAATTTATTTGCTAACAGAACCCCAGAAGTGCAAATTCTGGAGAGTCATCAGTTAACATTAATGATCGTTTAAGTAGCAAATCAAATTACTTCAGTGCTGGAGTCTGACAATAATCCAGAGAGACAGTAAAGCTTTCTATAACAATGTACATATACAAACTGCTAGAATAAGAGCAACAGATGCGTTCACTTCATTGAAAAAGCACTACATGCATTGATAGCAATGTACCAAGTGAGGAAATACATTTCACATCCACTGTCCTACAAGAAGCTGACACGGCAACATAATAAATATTTAAAAGTTCAAATTGATGACATAACGACTTAACAAAGCGTGCAACTTTATTATGTAAGTGTTAAAGCATACAGACTGCATAATTCCTAAAACTCCCGGATTTCATACTATGTACACTCCACTCAGAGATAACTCTCTCAATACAACACCTACACAGAAGATTAGTTCTTTCAACAGTGCAGCAGCAAGTGCGCATTTCGGTACCTCATCATCTCAGTTTATCCGACACCCCCAAATGTGAGGTGCTGCTGGCCTAGTCACGTAGGATGACTGAGTCCGCAATCTCCATCAGCGGCTCGAGGCACTCCGGGGCAAATTTCCGTGCAAACATGTATGAGTATTTCGCATTTGACTTCCTCAGCTCCCTGATCAAGTTGGCCGACACCTCCCCAGGATGATACGTGTGTGGGTGGCCCTCGACTTGATCTGTCCAGTTCACCCTCGTGAGGCTATACTTGGTGCATCCAGCAGGGTCCTGCATATCCAGCAATGTGGGGAAGTAGTGCTCCTCTGGATAGCACGAGTAATTGCGCTCGACCAGACAAGGCAGCTTAAACTTCTTCCAGAGCCGCATGTCCCTCACAACCATGATGGCATGCCTCCTAGTGAGCACAAAGAACTGCGATCCAGCACGAAACTGGTCATACGGCACCTCTGGCAACATCACAGCATCACCGCGGGCATAGTACCTATCATGAAGGATGGAGGTGTTGTCCGTTATCTCTATGAAGCTGCGGTGGTGGCCGTGAGGGCCAGCATTGTCGGAGAGGAGTGTCTTGTACATGGTGGGGAACGGGTGCAGCGGGATGCAGGACTGGGACAGCAGCGCAAAGAACTGGTTGGACGGGTCGTCCAGGAGTGCGGTGGCGAGGAGGCGGCGGGCGGCAGAGATGAGCGTGGGGGAGGCTCGCTGCGTGGCCTTGGCTGGCACGAAGCGGCCGCGGAAGGTGGGCGTGGGCGGCAGCTCTAGGACGGAGTAGGGGTCGGCGTGGACATACAGGTTGAACAGCTTGCGGTGGCCACGGAAGTACTTCTCCCAGAGCGGCGAGAAGACGATGTCGGAGTTGGTGAGGAAGAGGAAGGCGACTTTGGGCCGAGGGCGGCGGTGGAAGAAGTAGGAGGTGGTGGCCGGCTTGGCGGAGGAAGAGGAGAGGATGGCGCGGCGGAAGAGGGCGAGGTCGTCGGACTCGTCGGCGTCCGGGATGGCGGGGAGCGTCTTGGGCGGGAGGAGGCGCGGCCCGAGGAGGAAGACGACCGGGATGGAGAGGAGCAGGAGCAGGGCGAGCAGGAAGGGCGAGGCGTGCGTCGTCACCGGCGACGTCATCGCCGGCGACCGCGGGAGGGCGGGAGAAGCGCGGAATGCGGGCGGCGGTGGGGATTGGATCTTGGTGGGAGAGGGGGAGAGAGAAAGAGCGGATTTTTAAAGAGGATGGGATTGAGAGCGATTGGCAGACAGGGACAGTCCTGCGGAGGAATTGGGGAGGAGGACGGGAAAATGCCCCGCGAATTGGATCTTTCGATCCGGAGGCTGGCGGGCTGAAGCAGGACAAGAAGGCGAGGAGAGCCGGGAGGGGGGCGGCGAGCACCGGCGCCGAGGATCAATCCAAGGAGCAGCCGGGCATGGCGTCGCTCCTCGGAATCAGACCAAATGGCGAGCGGCGCCGGCTCCGAATCCCGGCCGGAGCTCGGCCGTCTCCCTCCCTCCCTCCCTCGGCTGGGCAGGCTTCACCACGAGATCCGGTAACGGCCGCGGGGTGGGGGGACAGGGGAGACCAGGAACGGCACCTCGTGGGCACAGGGCAGGGCAGGCCAGGAACGGAGCGACCGACCGACTGCCCCAACAACCACGAATCAACGCGGCGCGGCCGGGCCGGGGAGGGGGAATGGCGGCTGCGCTGCGCCGCGGCCG